CAAATGTTGAACATCTGGTGCAAAAGATGAAGTCGACAGTGAAGAGGGGATTGGTTGTAAGGTATTTTTTGCCCCCATTTCCCATGCTTCCTCCAGAGAACAGAAAAAAAGTCAGAATTCAGGGTAAACCTGCGTGAGGGCCCATCGTTATGAAAATGTTTCATAAGAGAATGGAAAGGACAGGAAAGGGAAGTCCTATCATCTGTCAGTCACTGATGGAGGGAGGGAGGGAGGCAGGCACAAAGCCCACAACGGATAAATGGGGGAGGAAATGGGAAGGCGGAGCTGCAGCTGCTGGATCGTAGCCTCTGCTCAGCAGGAACGAGAAGTGCAATGAAAATTATACAACTGATTTTATCTTCAACCTGTACTCAGAAGAGGGGAAAGGCATCTTCGACAGCAGGAAGAATATACTGGGCCACATGCAACAGGTGGGGGAACTCATACCTGTCCCCAGACCCTCCCTTCTCCATTGTCAAGATCCCAGCCCCTGCCACGATGTTTTAACCCCCTCCCCCTTCTAACCCTTTGACCTGGAAAAGCCACCTCTCTGAAGTCTCACCTGCTAGGACGATGGCCCCCTTGTGGCCCACTCCCAAAGTCCACTAGCTTCTTTCCCTCACTCCTCTCCTCAGTGTCAAGTCAAGACATTGGATAATTAGGTGACCTTATAGGGTAGGGCTTCAAGGAAAGGTTCTTACTATTTCCCTCTCCCTGAACCAAAAGCACAAGGAAGAAACAACATATTGAAAACCTAACACTTTAAACGATGAATAACAGTTCCTACTTAGCTAGCACTTTCTCCACAACCCCATGGGGCAGAATAGTGCAAGTATCATCTGCATTTTATAACTGAAGAAACAGGCTTAGGGAGGCAAACTGAGTAGCCCAGGTTCATGCAGTATGGACAAGAACCTAGGTTTCCCAACTCCCTGATACACCACTCGTTCTATTATATCACACTTCGTTGCTGAATATAAGTCCTGGCCTGACCTTAGAATGACAGTGAGCACAGCATGGTTCTATTTATAACCAGCTTTTCACCATGTTGGCCCCCTGGTGTAGAGGACCCTATTATGGGAGGCTTGTACACCACTCCATGCCCTACCCCCATCCCCTCTAGCTGAGCTCATTATCTACTGTTGCTTATTCAGGCAAATGTTGAACATCTGGCGTAAAAGATGAAGTCCACGGTGAAAAGGTTTCAAATCCTTTCCTCTAGGCCACAAACACAGGACTGGCTGAGAGCCTTGATGGGGAAATAGTTAAAAGGAACATAGAAAATGTGTGTGTTACGAAGGAGGGGAACGTGCCATAAATGGATGAATTTTGCCTACTTCACACTTTTGCCTAGGGCTGACCCTGTCCCCTCTTAACCAAATTCCATTTTTCCTCATTTATCATCTACATCCTCCCGTCCCAGGAAAAGCTTTAATATCTTCTTCCCTAAGACAATAGCAAGTGTAGTTAGACTAACAAGGGTGGGGACACTGCCCTGAGTGGCATTCCCACAGTAAATGGATAGGCTTAGAGTGCCAGCACAGAGCCAGGTGGCCATAGGATACCAGAGAGAAGGCTCCCCTGCCATCGTCTTCCCCTCAACAGACCAAACATGCACAGCAACAGCAAGGGCTTGATAAACTACTTATGAACTGAGCCCTTGCATTTATTTCCTAGTTCAAAAAGATTTCAAGTAATTCCCCTGCTTGGGTTTCCAGTATCTTATCCTCCCACCTAATATGCACCTCAAAATTTCTTCCTCTTAACCCATGGCTCTTTTTTCTCAACTTTCCCCTGTACTGTTTTTAGGGTGGAAGTCCAAGTCCATTTGACAGAAACTTTGCTACCAAGATGGGAGCCAAAGCTATGACCTGGATATCAACAAAAATCCAAGAAAGTATCCGTAATGGTAGGTGAGGCTAAAGTGGGGGGAGGGGCCTGGAATCCACCCAGCACTTTACGGGATGAGAACCTTATTGACAAACTCTTATTGCAGGACGTGTTTTTGCCAATTCACATGACTCAGCTTGTGTACTGGGGATGCGTAAGAGGGCCTTGATCTTCCAACCACTATCTGACCTCAAAGAAGAAACAGACTTTGAGTGAGTACCTTTATCCCAGTTCCAAAAAACTCTTCCTTATATCTCCCCAGCCTCATGCCTCTTCCTTAAGAATGCTGAGTCTCTTTTACTAAATCCCTTTCCAAAATATTCTCTTCTGCATGACAAGTCCTGGACCCCCTAGATTTATTTTTTACAAGTGACTGTGGTGCTTGGAGGCTGCCAGTTGGCCCTATCTTATTTCTCTACAGACACAGGATCCCTAAGGAGCAATGGTGGATGAGGATTCGGCCTCTCCTCAAAATCTTGGCCAAATATGATGCTGACCTGGAGGCTGCAGAACATGCCCACCTGGAACATGTCAAGCGCATGTCTGCAGACTCTACAAGCCCTTGAGTCGATGGAGAAAGCTGGAAGTGTTCATCTCACTCTCTGGCTAGTCCATGCCTAAACTCCTTATTCTTGAATTCTCAGTGTTTTAGCTCCTTTCTCATTAAATTTTACCTCATCCTATAATCATAGCCACAAGCAAGTGGCTCAATCTTAAAAGCTGGAGGCACATGGCAAGTTGGGTCACTTCTACTCCACATTTATCTATTACCCTAAGCAGGTTTCCTTGCCAGATGTCAGTCACTCGGTTACCAGTTTCCTAAAAACAAGTTTTATTTATTTCCCTGTTTGTAATTTGGACAAAATGACTGTGGCTTCCATGTGACTTCTGTTGCAGTGGCAAACGCTGTCGGTATAGTAATAAATGCTAATGTCATTGTGATTTTGGCTCACCTTAGGCTATCTTCTTTAAATGAGTTATGACAGTACTAGCTACTTGTCTCAGCTTGTTCTCATAGATCATTTATGATCTATGCACAGGTTGGAAGAGTCAGACTCCTTATCACCTTCAGGCCCTCCCTTCTCCACAGTGTTAAAATCTTTCTTACCTCCCTTCTCCATATTGCAATAATCTCTGTAATGCCTACAATTTTGTTTAAAGGTCACAGAACTCAATACTGTTGGAGGAACAGGACACTTGCTTTGGGTCACCTAGAACCAAAATCAGAACATTAGACTATCTTGAGACAGATATAGCTGAGATTTTACATTTCTCATGGGGGCACCCATTGTAAGGGCTCATACCACTGAACATCAGGTATATATTCTCCACAACTTCCTAAGAAGTGTGTTATTGTCCATCCACCTCCCTCACTTTCCTAAGAGGAAACTCTAGCCTCAAGTTTTTTTGTTGTTGTTTTGCAAGGACAGCTACTCTTTTTTTCTTTCTTGTCCTGCTTTTTTCCTGCCATTCACCAGTCAAAGCACTGAGGAGGTAAAAAGGAAGAGTGTGCCCTCAGTACACCATCTTTGTTAGAAGCCAAGCCTATAATTGGGGCAGCTGGGTGGGCAGTGGATAGAGCGCTGGCCCTGGAGTCAGAAGGACCCAAATTCAAATCCAACCTCAGACCCTAACTATATGACCCTGGGAAAGTCAATTAACCATTTGCCCCAGTTCCTCATCTATCAAATGATCTGGAGCAGGAAATGGCAAACCACTCTAATATCTTTGCCAGGAAAGCCCCGAATGGAATCGCAGACAGTCAGACACAATAGAAACGATTCAACAAGACTATGATCAATTTTCCTTAAGTTTAGATCTATGTCAATAGAGAAAAATAAGTCACTAAGAAAAATAATTTTATAACTATGTTCAGAGTGCTTGTCCAAACTTAGAAACATAAGGGATATTAAAAGGAGGTTGAGTTCATAGGACCACAGATAGGAGAAACCTTAAAGGTTATTTACTCCAACCCCCTAATTTTGCAGATAACTGCAACCGAGTTGTGATAGGATTTGCCAAAAATTACACAGGTAGTCTGTTGCAGAGCCAAAACTTGAATTCAGGCCCTCCTCCTCTAAATTCAATGGGATGCATCAGTTTCTGGGAAAAAGCAGATTTAAAGAGCAAATATATACTTCCTACTGCAAGTTGTTTTTTGTTTTGTTTTTAACCGTCTGGAGCTAATAATAAATGAAAACATGTGAAGCTTGGTCTTTACTTTAAACCAAGAAATGAAATGATAAAACATTTACGTAGAACTCCCCTAACAAGAACACAACCTTGAAGGCAGGTGATTTTTCATTCATGTCTTTGTATCTCCATCACCAGGTAGCGCCTAGCGCTTTATGTCTATTGAATAGAAACGCAACAAAGTGAAATAGGAAGGCTGTGAGGAATACCATTTACTGAAGCGCTAAGAATTTGTAAGTAAACAATCAGAGAGAGCAGGGGATTTCCTATCATGCTTTGACTCTGAAAATCTAGTCAAGTATGATTTTTTTTTAAATGGAAGAAAAACTATTTTCTCAGAGGCAAGATGAATGGAACTAGTTATAAATTAAAGTGAAGTGGGAGTTTCTCAGCCAGCTAAAAACATTTGTTAAATAGAGAGGAAAAAGACAACATGACATAGGGGAAAGGGCACTGGACTTGAAGTCAACCCAGGTTCTAGTCCTCACTGAGCCACTTAAATGGTATGAATTTGGGCAAGACATTTCACCTCATCTACTGTCATCAGCTGTAAAATGAGAGTTGGATTAGATGTTCTCTATGGGCCTCTCTATTATACCTTCTATGAAATGAAGGCTATTCCTTTTTCCACGTGGGTATGATTCCCATCTATCTACCCAATCCTTCTGAAAATGATTTTATTAATGTAGTGTCAAGCTTAGTGACATGTGAAATAGGGGAAGAGAGATTTACATTAGGTATCACCAAAATGTATGTGAGAGAAGGAGACAGGGATATTGTATTTATACTTATAAGTGGAAAAAAAGGACACAAAAGAATACCCAGAAAATAACTGGAACAACGTAGGTATTTAGAAGCTCCCCTTTGGAACTACTACTCTTCCATACTCTATCACCTCAATAAATGTAACACACAAATAACAACAACAAAAAAATCAGATTCACTTTACTTTTGGACCAGACATGTGATTTTAGGGATCTCTTAATGAGGAAACTCTTTTGGTCAATACCAACTGGCAACTGTTCGGTACTTTATATATAGTCTTAAGCTAAATAGAGTACTAAATGATCTGCCCAGGGTTACAAAGCCAGTATGTATGGAAGAATTTGAACCCAGGTCTTCCTGAATTCAAAGTCTACTCTTTATTCAATATATCAAACTGCCTTTCTTCTCACTTATTTTCAAGTTACCTCAACAGATTCCATTCCTATTTTGCATATGGCTTCCTCCCACCATTTTCCTTAGTTCCCTCCCTTCCCTTCCCCCAACACACACATACACAGAGTTTTTTGTTTTAGTCAAGTATTCCTCAGATTATTTGATTCAAAGTTTAGGAATATGGAAATAAAAAGTCCTACTGACCCAAACCACACTTTTCTAGGCAGTTGGTTCTTCTCCATACAGTATCTCCCACTACCAACACATACATACACACAGCCTGAAATGACTAAAATGTCAATTAGTACAAAGCACAACTTAACAATGAAAGAAAAACAATTCCAAACATTTAGTGGAGTTTTCTATACAGAGACTATGAACTTGAGCTTGGAAGAAAGCAGCCTAGCTTATACCTTTCCCTTCTAGAATCAAACACTAAAAGATCTAAAGGATAGGGACGATGGCTTCTTGGTGCGGTTGGAACACCTGATTGGGGAAAGTCTGAGAGGTAATACATGTGAGAAACTAGCATTTTCAGGACTACAGATAACTATTTTCTTTACACTGGAGAGCAGATAAGTTAATTCTGCTGTACCACTCAAACAGGGGTAAAAAAAAGGACAGCTTGTTATTTCTTATGATGGGAAACAAAGGAAAATTCCCCCCTCAATAACATGGCAATGCTAGCATGTCATTCAGTTAAGTCATTATTAAATTGCACTATTTAAACTGTTATATTTTCTTCTTTAGACTGTGAACAGTGTTAACTGGTCTGTTTTTTCCCTGAAAATCTCCAATGACCAATTAAAAAGCTCCTAAAGGGTTAGTCACCAAATGTTTCTGCAGGGAGATCACACACATTATTTAAATATATTTAATTTTCCTAAAGAAATTCAGCTGTGCAGCTGGCTCTAGCTGCAAGTCTCCTAAATGAGAGGGGACATGGAGACCTCTTCCATTAGAAGGTGCAAATAACAAAAGCTGAGTAAGCAATACACACACTTTCTGCAAACAAAAAAGCACTGGATTTTTTTTTTGTTTGGCTTAGAGGGGAGGTGGCAAGGGTGTTATTGCTGTGATATGTTGTTTCAAAATCTATGCACCAGGCATGAGCATCTGCATCCCATTTCCCCATGACAGAACAGGACAACTAGGTCTGCAGAGCAAACCTCATGTAGAATTGTTGTGTGATGGCCCAAGCTCTTCCTCAGTTATTCTACAAGTAACAAGTATTCCTTCAAAGATGCTGGCAACGGCAGGCCCTTTACTGCATCTGGCAGATACTGGAGTCCCAGGCTATGTCGAACAGCATATCGAGACAATGTTTTCAGGGTTCCTGGGGCAGAGCACAGCATAGTCAGTTTTTCACAAAGTTGTGGGTCTTTGGCTACCTCACCAGGCATGGTGCCATTTTTCCGTAATTCAAAGTGTCCAACGGCTCTGTGGAGGAGCTCAAAGCAAGAATCCTCTTTTTCTGTTCCTACTCCCCTAACCAACAGAGCCACCAACCGGGAGATAGGTGTCTGGCCCTTTAAGTTGGTGACCTTGACCTCTGCACCATAGTCAAGGAGTATGCTAACACTCTCAAGGTTTCCCTTCATGGCTGCCCAGCTGAGTGGTGTGTCATTGTTGTAATCCAAGGCATTGACGGAGGCACCACTTTCTAGAAGGGCCCTTACACACTCAGCATTATTCTTAAAGGCTGCCCAGTGAAGCGGGGTATCTCTGTTGCCATCTAGTGCATTGGGGTTTGCACCATATTCCAACAGGACTTCCACACAGGCTTCATCTTTCTCAGCTGCGTAATGGAGAGCCGTCCGGTTGTAGCCATCTAGAGCATTTACCTATAAAAAGAAATAACAAATATATTGCAGTGGATATAATAAGCAGATACAGAATGTCAGGCAGATCCAAATTATTCATCTACACACCATCACTAATAATCTATTATGCTGCACAAGGAAGTCAATAAGCAAAAGGGAGATGACAGGTACCTGGGGTGGGGGGAGGAATCAGCTTTGAATAATCATATAAGGCAACAGGAAGGCAAAGGAAGTTCAGAGAAAAAGGTACTGATTATTTGGCAGTAACCATTTTAAATGAGTACATTTTCCATATCTGTAAGGTTGGACTGAAGTTCCCTGGAAATAAGTTTGGAAGGTTGGGTATGAAAGGAGATGTTTTTATAGTAGGCCCATAGAGCTCTTAGCAGAGAAGCTAGTGGATACTTCTTTAGTAAGAAGAAATTTTCTGTTAGGATTCCTAAGAGGAAAGTTCAAAAAGAGACTGTAGAAACGATTCTTTAGTCCTAAGTACTTAATTAACAGGAAGATCCAGTAGCTACCACAAATACAATTAAGACGGTCAAAGGGAAAAAATAGAACCACCCTGTTAACATGGGAGGAAAGAAAACCTTTAAATAACTGAAGCATAGAGGTAGTTGTTAGTTACAGAAAAATTAGCTCTGAACTCATGGACTCTTATCTATTCTGAACCATCCAGGGCTCTGTGGTTATCTTTCCTCTTCCTTCTTATCTTTTGACTATGCTGCTACTACTTAGTACTTTCATAACAGGGTAAGGTGAAAAGGAGAAGGATGCAGCTTAAACTCATCTTTTGCTACTAAGCAGTGATGGGAGAGGTTTATCGAAGAAAAGTTTAAAGAGAGTAGAAATTTTGGATTATCACCTTTTATCCTAGTTCTTTTTGTCCTGTACAGTTAAGGACAATCTAGAGAAAGCTCTAATATATACAGTATTATTAACCTGGACAAAATTATAAGGATGTTAGTTGCTATATTCTAATCCATAAGCTCATTTAGCTGCCTTAAAATAGCCTACTATTGGCCCTAAACTTGTGATTGCCACAACAGAAGGAACAAGATTGAGACCAATATTCAAAATAGCAGAGAGATGACAGCAGAGAAGGCAGAATTCCCAGGAAGGGATGAGAGGTATATCTTTGTTTTCATTTAATGTTGGGAGGCTGTGTCTGACATCAGGTCCAACCCTAGACTAGACAACATAAGAGTGAGAGTTGGGGGTTGACTTCCTTTGTAAAGTTCCAGTTCATTCTCCATGCAAAAAAAAAAAAGTTTCAAGGATATTGAAGAGTGCCACCCAAAAAAATAGGCTGGGAACAAAAAAGGGAAAGAGAAATTACTCCTCACTAACACCAACAACAGTTCAAATTAAGGAGGGGGAAGGTGACTGAGGTACACAACCGGGCTGATAAACAACAGATATTCATGGGCTTTAGCTAGCCACCATGATGCCTTGCAATAAAAGTGGTTCTAACCAATGGATCTAGAGGGTAAGAAAAAAGGTGGAGAGGTATGGAGGAGAGAACTGATTCTTAGAAAATATGATCCTTTTCAATGAAGTGTTAGAGTGGGTTATTAAAAACAAATTACCTCAGCTCCTTTTTCCAAGAGTAACTCCACACAGTCAGCATCTGACACCATGCATGCACAGTGCAGTGGCTTCAGTGTGCCGTGAGTACAATTCACATCAGCTCCCTATAGGCCGAAAAACAGAGAACTTCCATCAGTTTTGCCTAAGTAGCGAGACCCTAGTCAGACTAGGAAGAATTTGCTATTTTGAGGAAAGCTGGAATGGAATGAAAATGGAATCATTTCCCTCTTTCATCATGTTCTGAAAAAGCTAGTCAGACAGGCAGGGAAAAGGCTCAAGACTGGGTACCAAGGAAAATGAATCCTGCCTCCAACAGACATGCCATGCAATAGAAACACAGCAACCCATTTTCTCCATTTGAAAACTAAAGAAATACAGCTCTACTGTTGGAGACAATCAAATAAAGCACTGCCAATTTTTTTTTGAATCACACTAATAACCACCTTTATTAAGAAGTCTAACTCTCAGACCACCATCAAAAGCTCAATCCTATCATCTGTACCAACAGTGAAGCCCTTGTTAGACTAAGCAGAATTTGCTGTGTTGAAGAAAGCTGGAATATTGAGATACTTTCCTATCCCACTATGCTCTTTAGAAGGTAGGGCAACAACACTATCAGCATGGGGACCAGGAAAACTAGGTAACAGCTCTTCTGCCCTTTAAATGATGTTGTTGTTTTTTTATATTTAAAATTTTTTTTTTGGTGAGACCATCTGGGTGAAGTGATTTGCCCACGGTCACACAGCTAGTAAGTGTCAAGTGCCTGAGGCCAATATTTGAACTCAGGTCCTTCTGACTCCAGGGCTGGTTCTCTATTCACTGCGCCACCTAGCTGCCCCTCAATGATTTTTATAGGTAGCTACACCTAACAAGAAGGAAATGAAACTTAATAGCCACTTTTGTTTACAAAAAATTTTGTGTATCCACTGCTACTTCAATAGGTAGTAGTACCAATCTTCAGCACAGAAATTTTAAAGATTGTTTAGCCCAGTGGTAGTGTTGCTCCTAATGTAAATATGAAAAAAAGATAATTAAGTCACAGCCAAAGTCAGGCTGATTAAACAGGAGAATCAGAACTTAAGAGTTTCTAGTATGGAGTCCTTTACCAAGACTTAATTAACTGCACATTTTACTTTTCATAGCCATGAAACATCAGGCTGCTCACAATGGTTCTTAAGTCTCACGTACTACTACCATGACAATGGTCTGGTTGCATTCAGAAGCAGCCAAGAAACTGTACCTGCCACGACTGCCCGACAGAAATTTATGGTCAGGTGCCACAGATTTTCGAAAGTCTTAGGTTTATAACCAGCATTTCTTAAATATAACATCACACTGTGCTTTTCAAGAGTCAGAATACTACCCAAAGTCAGGAATGGCAGCATTTGAGCAACAGAGCAGTATATGGTAAAACAAAAAATAATCATACCCTTTGACCTACTAAGAATATCCCCTGAAAGTGTCAAAAAGAACAACAAAAAAAGGAACTGTTTGAAGATTTTCATAGCCACATTATACATAAATACAAAAAAAAGAAAATTAACATAAATGCCCAACAACGGAGGAATGATTAAATAAACTGTAGCACATTAATGCAAATAACATATGCATGAGTATGAGGAATACAAATAAATGTGGAAAGGCCTAAATGAAGTAATGCAAAATGATTAAAAAACAACAACTAAAATATAGCACATTCAATTTTAAAGCATAAGAGGAAAAGGACTTGGAGTGACTGAAAAGTTATAATTTTTTACACACTGAAATTAAAGTGTAAATAGTTTCCAAAATACAGGATTTTGTTCCATCTGTTTAGTTTTTTGTTGTTGTTGTTGTCATTCCTGGGGTTTTTTCTTGGCAAAGATAACTGGAGTGTTTTGCTATTTCCCTCTCTAGTGTGTCCCCATTTTACAGATGAGCAACTGAGGCAAACATGGGTTATGTGACTTGCCCAACATCACAAATGTAGGTGTCCTAGCCTGCATTTGAACTCAGATCTTCCTGACTCCAGGCTCAGTGCTCTAAAACCCACTGTACCACCAAGTTCCCCTCTCCCCAAGCTGGTTTTACTGATATTCAATAACGTATCTTTAATAAAATACCTAATTTTAAAAAATGGTACGACAGGTAATAAATTACTTAAGAGAAATAAGAGTTCTAACTGCTCTATCCCAGACATGGGAAGATCAGTGTGCCAAACAGAAAACCACTTGTACAGAATAACTTAGTTATATAAGTTGTACAGTATTTCTACCTTCCTCTGCATGATATCTTAACTGGACCTTTAACCACTAGCCATGTAGAACTCAACACATTTCAAGACAAAAAGGCTACTACAACGTGACAAAGGGGAGAAGGGTAGGAAAACTGAAACAAAAAACAAATAAGGACCAACAGCTTATTATCTCCTAGATAACGGAAATTCTACTCTGTGCAGAGTTGATGCTTCAGGCTTGTAACACAACATGGTCCCCAGGTTCCATTTTACCCCTCAGGGGTTTCTCACAGAAGCAGGAGCACACTCACCCCTCTGATCAGGTCCTCCACATTATCATGAGGAAAGGAACGTATGGCAGCAATTGTTCGAATTAAGCGCTCTGAGAGAGAATATTTGCTCTGAATGCTCTGCATAATATACCACATACTGGAACTCATCAAGGACTCAGGATATGTTTACATGCTCCAAACTGCATAAAACAAAAAAACTTTTGTTAATCATAGTGAAACAACCAGACTATAAATCATTAAGTGAACAAGGGAAACCTGGACCTAGGTGTCATATGTTGTAGTCCATTCTCCATTCCAGTGCTCAGGGCTTTTCAAATGAAGATATTGAGATCAGATGTCTATGTTGGTACAATTTATGAGGCCCTGAGTTTCTCTTATCCTAGCAACAAGAGGGAGCTATTAAAGGTTTTTGAGGAGTGTATGACATGACCAACCTGTCTTTAGAAAAATCTAGTATTTTTTATACTATACTGTTAACAGCAAGAGTACATATGGGATGGTGAGAGGGTTGGGGTTTTTGTGGGGGAGGGGTGTTTAAACACATAGGGAACTCCTGGTATGCAATTCCTTCTACCAATGAAGATCAGCAATTGATCTGCTAACTTAACATCTCAAAGTTGGCTGAGACTCTGAAGTTAAGAAGCTAGTATGTGTCTAAGGAAGGAAATGAACCTAGGCCTTCCTTACTCCAAGGCTAGCCCATTATCTACCATGCTGTATCTTACTTTACTTTTCCTAAACTGTGTTCCATGGAACCTTGGGTTTCAAAGGATGTGAATAAGGTTTCCATAGGAAAATTACAATATTAGCAATAATATAGTGAATATCAAATTATCACAAATGCTTATTATTGTAAAACATCTGGCAAGACTAAAAATGGGCTTAATGTTCTCTATTTTATTCTTCAGTTTCTTCAATTTTCTTTTAATCTACGGATATTCTCCCTTAGACTAACCAATCCTTTCCTTCCCCTTCTCTCTTTCTGTCAAGTTTCAAAGTATTCCACTATCTAATCAGTTTGGGAAATTTTTTCATCATACTATAAGAAAGGAAAACAATGACACAGTTGCTTAGCTCATGTCTTTAAAGGAGGAGTAGAGAATGAGGACAGAGTACCAAGTTAATATACCCAGAGACTTTGAGATACCTTCATTTGAGGGAGAAATTTTATTTTAGGAAAAAATACAATAGTAATTCCTGGGTCATGAAAACTAAGGAAAACTGCAAAATGTGTTCAAATTCTACTACACCAGGAGTCCCACTACAAAAGGATTCAATTGTATAAAGGAACCATTCAGGGAGAACTGAAAAATACAGATTTTTTTTTAAATGAAGATTGTACAATTTCATAGAAACGTTATTGAAAAATTTGAAAAGAATTCTAAAGCTGGGACCTCAGAAGGATCCAGTCTAACTTCTAGATACTGGAGAATATACCTAGAAAATAAAACGTTACTGATTTAGACTAATAATGGCTAGCATTTATATAGCACTTTAAGTTCATAAAAAACACTCATTTGATCTTTACAACAAAGCTGGGAGACAGGTGCTATATTATTTTGATTTTACAGATGAAGAAACTGAGGCAGTCAGAGGTTAAATGAACTGCCCAGGATCACATGACTAGTAAGTGTCTGGGGTTTGATCTGGTTCTTTCTGACTCTAGGTCCAGCACTCCATCCACTGTGCCATCTAGCTGCCTCAATTTCATTTGCAATAATTGATCAGTGCAGTTGATTATTACTGAGGTAGCATGTTTGAGATTTTTATGCTATGATACATTATTATGTTATAAACAGTAAGTTCACCTATTTATTCATCCTCAGCACTTTGTATACATAATGGTAGTTGAAATAAATTAATTTTAAAATATTATACAATTCAGTCATTTCACTAATTGAGTTGGGACATTCTTTTCCATGTTTCTTCTGGGAAAATAAAGTATTCTGTATTAAACTTTCACTTAACTACATATGGTGTTTTAGAATTATTTTCTAGTTTTAGGTATTTTCTCAACTAGTTTTTAAATGCTTCAAAAGGTGTGTGCGTATGCGTGTTTTAATTCTCCTCATCGATGAAATGATCAACATCAGCCATAAACAAGTGGCCCTGGCATTACACAGCAGCAGCAGCTCAGGCTACCCAAACTTGGTGTCTGCAGGCTGAAGACTACACTAACAGAAGGGCCGACAAGTCCACTTCCGCGTCCGTGCACTAGTGCAGCTTTTATTCCGCTCTGTGGCCCCCCGCAGACCCCTTTCCCTTTCTGGGGCTGATGGCCCCCAGCTTTTCCTTTGGCGGGAGGAGTGACAATCAACCTCGAGGTTCTTTTCGGAACCGAAGCGATGTGTACAAGATGAACGTCGACAGCGCCTCCCTGAGCCCGGGTCCGAAGGTTTGGCATTAGCCACCCGGTCTGGGGTCATGGTCACTCCAACCGTTGGGGATGCGTGAAGGGCAGTGGCGCCCGAAGCCGGACGAAGGGACAGGAGGGCGGACAGCACAGAAGCCCTCGAGGAGACGTGGCCGGCTCCTCACCCCCGGGCTGCCCTCCTCCCGAACACCGCGGGCCCCCGGGCTGCCCAGGGCCCGACGCCGGCGGCCCCGGGGAACGACCGGAGCCAGGACCCGCCGCGGGGCCCAGCTCCGAGGGCCTGTTGCTAGGAGGGGGCGGAACGGAGGCTGCCCGCGGGGCGCACGCTCCGGCCGCTCCGGGCCAGGCCGCACCACTGCCTCTCCCGGGGAGGGAGACACCCGCCGGAGGAGGGGGGGACGGCGCCGCCGCCGCCTCTCCCCACGGCGCGGGCCTCAGCCCCTCCCTCCTTCCAGCGTCTCGCCCGAGAGAAGGGAGCGGGAGAGAGGGCGGCTCCGCGGGGGGCAGGGAGGAACTGGGAGCCAGGTCTCTGGAGGGACCGGGCGGTGACGGAGCTGGGAGCTAGGCCTTACCGAACCACCAAGTCGAAATGGGTACCGAAAACCGCTACCAAGGCTGACCCGGAAGCACAAGGTGTCAGGCGCAGGTGGTTCCCCCTCTGACTACCAGAGGACAGAAGGGGGGCCAGTGGGCCTGCGCACATGCCTGCGACCGGGCGGCGGAGGGCGCCTGCGCACACTTTGGGGCTGGGCTCTTCCGCTCTTCCGCTGGCTGGGCCTCTTCCCAGTCTCCCTCCTCTGGCAATTAATGGCTGGCACTGCCCCTGGTTGAGGCGTGGTTCTAGAACCCCAGGGGAGGAGGGGCGGGGGAGTGGAAATCAGAAGACCCCTGCTTCCTCCACAGCCCCCTCCTTTTTTTTACGAGCCTCGTAACTGAGCAAGTCAAGCCTCAATTTCTTCATCAGTAAAATGGGTGGCAATTTAATGCTTGCCTTGCCTACCTCACCCTTGTGCAGAAAGAGCCTTTTCTTAAGCTTCTAATTTCTGTTTCAGTTCTTTGGATTTGGGCACTCAGTAAAGTCACGGCATTGACTCAGCGTAGATTTTTGTTTTGTTTATGCTTACTTGGTTCCCAATCCAAACTACACCCCAGCTCTGGTAATTCCGTTCATCATGGGCATATGTTGGCCCATCCCTGGGCAGACTGTGATCTTTCCTTTCTTGTAAGCCCATAGCACTTACTGTCTGCATAATTTATTTCAAATATATAATATGCTACCTTATGTTTGTCATATTTCTCCACTGTTGAAAACTTTAAAAGAGTGAGGACCATAGCTTCTGCTTCTGGAAGGCAGTGTGGTATACTAGAAAGAATGCTGGACTTGAATTCGGAGAACCTGCAGTTCAAAGTCTAGCTCTGTCATTGTGTGAGCTTTAGTGAGTTATGTAACTCCTCTAGACCCCAGTTTCATCATCTGTAAAATAAATGAGTTGGACTAGGCCCCTTTTAACTCTAAATGTAAGATTCTCTTTCAATTTCTCTGGTCCCTAGTTCAAGTGCCCACACCTAGTGGACACTGAATTCCCATTGTTTGATTTTCTGCTTGACCATTTCATTAGCACCACCCATTTTAGGATGAAAAGTCAGGGGAAGATTATACCTCATGTGAAAGGTTTTTGTGTTTTTCTACATACCCGTCTAAGTTATCCTGCTTCTTTCCTGTGCTTATTAGATTAAATGAGATAATTATGTAAAGCACTTTGCAAACCTTAAAGCGTTATATAAATGTTGTCATAGTAATATGGAAGACTCAATCCTTTAATATCTGTGGCATAAATCTGTATTTCATGCTTCCAACCAATGAATATGTGACCAGCTTCATGGTCTTATTACATTAGGAACCATTTGTTCCACACTGATGTGCTGTGTTATAGTTGGGATTTTTTGGTATTTGAGTAATCCTATCTATCTCTTTTACCCTCCTCATTGTGGAAGCTTGCTAAATTCATGTGTCCTTGGACTTGAAAGAAGGTGGTGCTGCTAGAGAGCTGCCTTCTCTTCTCCACAGTGCTGCTTACTGCTAGACATAACTCTCTTCAACATATTAAGAATGTGCTAGCTGTCTTTTACATCTGCAGTATAAGATGCAAAACAGAAGAGTCAAGAGACTTGTTCCACTTCAGGGAATCCACTTCCATAATAATAATTTCCTCCTGCCTTTCTGCAGCATTTTACAACTTGCTGTACAAAGTGTTCACATCCATTATCTCATTAGATCTTCCCAAAGTAAGTGAACTTATCCACAACATTCAGAACTTCTCCATTTGCTGTAACTGATGGTTCCACATATGAAAGGTGTATTAGTAACTGATGGAGCACTTGTGTTTTCTTGGTGTTAATTGTTAGGCCAAAATTAGCACAAGCAGCAGAGAATTGACCAATACTTTGTTGCATCTCAGCTTCAGAGGCTGCACTGAGTGCACAATCATCTGCAAACAGAAAGTCATGCACCAACACTTCCTCCACTTTGGTCATGGCTTATAGACTTTTAAAGTTGAAGAATTTACCATCAGTGAGGTAACTGACCTTGATGCTGTGTTCATCCCCATTGGAAGCATTGGACAACATGGCTGAAAACACCATGCTAAAAAAAAATGGGAGCAAGCACACAGCCTTGACTCACTCCATAGGTGACTGAGAAAGCACAAGAGCATTATCCATTATCCAGAATCTGGGCAGGCACGCTGTCACGAAATTGGTGTACAACTCTGATGAACTCCTCTGGGCAACCAAATTTTGACATAATTTTCTATAAGTCCTCATGACTGACAGTATCAAAGGTCTGGTCAGGTCTACACACATTATGTACAGACCTCTGTTCTGCTCCTGGTGTTTCTCCTTGGTAGTGTACTTTCCAGGAACGTACACACTGATAGCGAGATTGGTGCAGTTGTCGTTAGAGCTTGCTTGGTGTTTAGGAGGCTTCAAAGGAAAGTGTGGGAGAGAAGAGGTATTAGACTACCAAACTGAAGATCTACAGAGCCGCTGTGCTGACCGCATTGTTGTATGCCTGTGAAACCGAGACAGTATGCTAGCGCCATGCTCGAAAACTGAATGTTGGGGAAGCTAGGTGTCGCAGTGGATAGAGCACCGGCCCTGAAGTCAGGAGGGCCTGAGTTCAAATATGGCCTCATACCAAACACTTGACACTTACTAGCTATATGACCCTGGGCAAGTCACTTAACCCCAATTGCTTAAAAAAAAGAAAGAAAAAGAAAACTGAATCTCTTCCATTGTCTTAGGAATACTCTGAAAATCACCTGGCAGGAGAAAATACCAGACACTGAGGTCCTTTCTCAAACTAAACTGCCAGTCATTCAAACTCTACTTCAGAGGGCACAACTCTGATGGGCTGGCTATGTTATTCGAATGCAAAATATGCTTGCCAAAAAAGCTATTTTATGGAGAATTCACACAGGGCAAGCATTCACATGGTGGTCAGAAGAAGCGATACAAGGACATTCTCAAGGTCTCCCTTAAGAACTTTAGAATTGATTGTGTGACATAGCAGACACTGGCATAGGACCGCTCAGCATGGCATGACCACCTCAGAGAAGGTGCAGTGGTCTATGAGCAAAGTAGAATTGAAATAGCTCAAAAAGAAACACAAGATGCGAAAATTTAGAGAATCCACCCCCAATGTTCATATGGTTTATTTGTGCCCGACCTCATATTGACCCAAGCTCATATTGCTCTGATCAGCATAGTGATGTCATTTTGGTCCTCTGAGAACAAAGGACAACAACCAAGCAACCGGATCTTCACAACACCCCCTTGACATCGGTAGCAAGAGGAGAATCTGAGCCGTAGAATACTGGCAACCATATTAATGATTACATCCATCAAGAACCCCGGACAACTAGAGAGGGTATTTAAACCCTTCTACTTTTTTTAAATGCTATTTGCAACATAGGTTGTTTCTAGCATAAATTAGAAACACAACTTCCATAGCTGTCCACTGACACAGTTGCTTAGTAAATTTAACTTACCTAGAAGATGACTCTGGACAATATGAGGAATTTCCTACATTTAGTTGTAAATTCCCCTTTTGTGTTTCTCTGAAATCTTCCTCACTATTCTCTAGTCCTTCAAACCTGAATTTCTAGAGACTGATACACAATTCTCAAATTATTTCTCACTAGTGTTGGTCTGTCTGGATGTTCCCAGAGAGGCATCGTGGTGAAGTGGAGAGTAAGCTAGATTTGGAGTCAAAGGCTATTATGGGTTTAGCTACTTCTCACTTGTGTGACCTGGGGCGACTCACTTAGTCTCTCTGGTGCCCAGTATTCTCATCTATGAAATGAAGAGGTTGGGTAAGATGAGCTCTATGGTTCCTTCCAGCTCTAAATCTGTGATTCTCTGAAAGCCTGCCCTCCAGCAAGTCTATTTCTTATATATTTAGGAGAGTTTTCAAAAGTATAAATCACAATGTAATTATAAGTAATCACCCTCCCCAATCAGAAAGTCCTCACTTTAGACTTTCTCAAAGGAATGGTCTTAACATGCAAAACATATAGACTTTAACTAAAAGTACATATAATTTAATTAAACCAGTATCACGTGGTAGAAAATCTAGAAATGAAAAGCAAAATAAACAAGGCAAGTAATATTTTGTTCCAACTCAGGCTCTTTTCTCTATTATGCAATATCCTACCAAGTTGCAACAATAGTTGCCAAAACTTTTCCCTAAGTTCTAGAGCATAATTAACATAATTCTGGAGACCAGAGATTTGAGGCTCAGGGTAAAGTTAGAAGTTTTTCGAGCACACTGCCCTCTTTTGTATTGGATCCCATCACTGGAGGTGCCAGAACCTGGCACAAGACTACTAGTTTCACTGGAACTCTGCCCATCACTTCCAAACCAGGAATTTCCCCAAAAAGGAGTAGAAATGTATTCAATGTACAATGCAGATCAGGTATGGTAGAGGGATTTATTTCCTCAACATAAAAGAAATGCCCAAAACACAAGACTCACAAGGACACATTGACAGAGAGTAACTTACAACTTCTCATACTGTTCCAGGAGATTTGTGCTTGAAATAATAAAACATGAAGCATTGTGCTGAATGGCCATTTCACTCTCATTTGGGCTGTGCATTGTCCATATCTTTTGACAAGTCATTTCACATCTTGGGCTCATTCTACTGGGAGTGGTCTTCTACTGAGAAGGGTGTAGTTGTATAAAACTTCTGCTGTCAGTAAGCCCTTACTTAAGAATGTAGAATTTCCCAATCAGTCACCGGGGGGGGGGGGGGGGCCACACAAATAGAAGTGACTGCCCAGAGCCAACAAGGTGCTTCTTGCCATTTATGAGCAGCTGGGGGGTGGAGAGTGGGTGGGGCAGAAAGGAGACCCGTCCTTCCTTTTAGGAAGTCCAGTATAGTCTCACAGAGTCCCCGTTATGTTCAGCAGATAGGAACAGAGAAAGCACCAAAGGGCAGAGAGTTACTACTTATAATTTCTACTCAGTCCACTCTTCTTGGCTCACTGGCCAATTCTTTTAAACACAGTTTGTGTCACAGAGACAGGACCAAAGATTGTTTCATCATCTTAAAGACAAGTCCTTCAGCACTGAGCACCTATGTCCCTAAAAGTAGCCAGGAAGGCTCCGAGCATATGCTCATATTATGGCATATGCTCTAATCCAACCCCTGCTACGTTCCTCTTAGGTCTCTGGCTTTATTTTCTTCTGTTGTGTTTTTG